AAAAATTCAGTGCCTAGGGGTATAGTCCAGTTCCAGGGAAGTTGGATACTAATGTTGTTTGACATGTAGGATGGGATATCTCATCTCAGCCAAAGCTTTATATCTGTAGAATATAGGAAGCCTCATCAACTCAAGTCTGGTATGTAGGGTTGTTCAGCTTGGCTGAGGTACTGATTCTCAATGTGCCACTCTAGCTGAGACCTGTGTGCCTTGGACTATACTGTATGGTCAAGGCACTGTTACTCCAGTAGATAGTGCATACCTTCATCTCTGGCCCCAAGGGGCAGGGTGCAGCAGCAAGGAGGGGTAGATCAAGTGGCCCCATCAAGCCACTGTTCCAGTGGGTACCCAGGTATACCTTCAGCTCAGGCTCCAAAGGGCAGAATGGGATGATAGGTGAGGTACCTCCACCAAGGCACCATTTCCAAAACCCAGAAAGCAATGCAAAGCTTCCACTCAGGCCCTGGGAGGTCAGGATACAGCAAAGACTGGGGAGGGGTAGATACAGTGATTCTGTTAATTTCTCTGAAAGACTGTGTGCAGGTTCATATTGGGCCTCAGGGTGGCAGGGTTGCCTTCATTTCTGAAAGGTAGTTTTGCTGGATCTAAAAATCTTGGCTCACAGTTTGTCTTGCAGCACTTTAAATGTGGTACACCACTGCCTTCTGGCTTACATTATCTCTAATGATAAGTCAGTGTTCATTTTATTGAGGTTTCCTTCTACATGATGAATCACTCTCTCGTCCTACTTCAAAGTATCTTTCTATTTGTCTTTGGGAGTGTATTATGATGTGTCTAGGAGTGGATCTTTGGTTTTTTTTCCTACTTAGGGTTTGTTAAACTTCTTAAATGTGTAGGTTAATGTTTTCATGTTACAGATATTATTTTTTTTTCTGCTCCTTTATCTCTCTCCTTTCTGGTTGGTGTGCTTAGTAGTATATCAAATTGTACTGAGGCTCTTCACTTTTTTTCTTCTTTTTCCTGTGCGGTCCTTGAATTGCTTATACCACCCATCCATTTTTAAGTTCACTGATTCTTTTGTCATTTCAAATGTACCCATTTCAAATATACTGTTGATTCTTCTAGTAAAGTTTTTCATTTCAGTTATTTATACTCTTCAATTATAGAATTTGTGTCTGGTTCTTTTAGGTTCTTTTTTTAACCTAATTTCTTTCTGTTCATTGATATTCTGTGTTTGATTATACATTGCCATCATGCCACCTTTTATTTCTTTAAGGATTATTTCTTTTCATCTTTAAATGTGTATAGTGGCTCCCTTGCATTATTTGTCTGTTGCCTCTGATACCTTAGTTCTTTCATATGCAGTTTCTATTTTATGCTTTCCCCCCTATCTATAGGTCATATTTTCCTGGCCTTCTCATATTTTAGTATTTTTCTCAATTTTTAGACACTTTCATTAATATGTTATGGCAACTCTAAAGCTGAGTTCCCTCTCTCTTCTCTAGGTCTTACTTATTTGGTGACTTGGCTAAACTATTTTAGTGAAGACTACTCTCTCCTCAAACTACCCCGTCCAAGCCTCCCGCCTCCACACACACTTGTGTGAAGTCTTCAGTGTCTCTCACAGACTACAGCCTTGCATGTACACAGTCAGTGTAGGAGGACTATTGTTTTAGCAGTTCATCTTGTCTCTTTCTATGATCCCTCTGTTTAGCTGTCTGCCCTAGTTGGAATCATACCAGATTTTAGGCTCAACTGATTGCTGGATAATTGCTCTATTGTCTTTGTCAATGCCATGGGGGCATAAATTGCTCAGCAATTTATGTGTGGAAGTAGCATTTAAGGCCAGTCTCTGAATTTCTTTTTTACCTTACAAGGATTATTCTTTGATGTCTCTTTCGGTAGTTCTCTATGATGAATATGATGACCTATTTTGTTGTCTTTTTTAAAAAAGCTACCAGCCTCTTCTTATTTGCTTAATCATTCAAATATGTTTTCCCCATTTTTAAAAGCATTTTATTAGCATATCTTAGTTGTACAGGGGGTTTTATTGTGACAGTTCCATATATGACTCCGATGTACCTTGGCTAGGTTCATCCTCATCATCATTCTCCTCCATCCCCTACCCCCTGCTTAAAATGACTTCAGTACTTCTCAATGTTCTATCTTCATACAAGTGTTTAAAGTATATTGACCATATTCACTCTTTTTTACCTTCTCCACTCACCCTTCCCCTTCCCACTAGTACTGTCCTCCTAACAGGACCTGTTTTGCATTCCTGTCCTTCATTGTTTAAGTATATATTCATTGTTCAAAGGGGTTTCACCAGAGTATTTCACCTGTGAACGTATTATACTTTAATCAGTCTGACCCTCTCTATTATTCTTCCTTATCTTTCTGTGCATTTTGCAATGCCTTCTTCCTACACAGATGCAATATATTTCAATATTATTCACTCTCCATTGTTTTCAAGCCCTTAAGCTTGACCATTCTCATGTTTTGTGTCAAATAAAGACTTTGTGTGTATGTGTGGAGAGTCCTCTTGCTTATGGGTTGCCTTCCATACTGGGCAAAATCTGTGTGTGAGCCACCATTCCAGGTAAGCAGCAAGGTCAGTGGTCTTTCATCTTTAGACTCCCAAACCTCTGCTTTACAAGCAAACTGGGGTGAGGGAGATCAGGGCCCCAGGATTCCCAGGGTGCTGCATCTGGGGTAATCTCTGTCCTGTGTGGGGGCTGAGTGGCCACATTGACCAGAACGTAGACTCTTCAACTCAAAGTTGAAAATACCAGTGGCCTGACCTCCTGGTAAGATATTGTATCCCCTGAGTGGTTGCTGAGGTTATAGAGACCCCATACTCTTGGCCCCATCTGCCTAGAGTGGAGCATCCATAAAACTGGAAAAAGCAGCTCATGGCTCAAGTGCCATGACTTCTGCTGTCTTTATTGAATTTTAGCGTATTTTCTTCAACAAATGTTCATCATTTGCTGTATGCCTTCAGGACAATTTCCAGAGACTTTAAGTGGTTTTTAAAAAGTTTTCACTACTTATGCTTATTTCCCTGGAGAGAATGTCTGTAGAGAGCCCATGTTGTCATTCAGCAAGTGAAACTATATCTTTTTTATTAAATCTTAAAGTTATTAATTTTAAAGTTACTTTTAGATTATTATATTGCTTTCATATTTTCTCAAGTATACTCACCTCCTAGATTTTAATTTTGGGGGAGGCTACTGATTATATGTTTGTTTCCTAATATATTTTTGAATGTTAGTTTGAAAGTTTATCTTAAGTAGGAGACTTTTTCATTCTCTTTGCAGTGACTGTCTCTAAAAGACCCTTCTGTGGCACCTATTTCAGAACCAAGTCTTATACATCATCTCGGGGTTCTCGTCTAATAGTGACAGTAGGCATATTGCAGTTCTGCTCAGTGAACCAGTGGGTTCTTTTGCCCAGGTCCTATTTCTGAGGCTGTACTTCCTCCTGCCTTTTTGGTTTGCAGCTTTGTATAATTGTAATTTGCAAGCATTTGGCACAGCTCTTTTAAATTTTTTACCTTCTTTCTTAAGTGCAAGAGCTTAGGTCAGGCCTCAGATACAGCTCTGGTTTTATTCTTACATAGGACATTTATAGGCACCATTACCTGCTACCTGCTTTAAATTGTTGCTCCTTTATATTTGTGTTCTATGTCTGGTCCATAGAAATATTTTCTTCTTTGTATGAGTAGATATGTATGTATGTGTGTGTATATGTAAATCTGTGTGTATTTATAAGCATTATTGCATGTATTCAAATGGAGAGATGTTCTTAACTCATGATCTCATAATGTCAGATTTTTGGAAACACCTAGACATTAAGATGAAACTCTCACTCAAGATTTGACTTATACATCTGTTTTAGATATCCCTACAGATCATTATACCAAGTTCAGTTTTTATTTTTATGTAGTGGCATATTTCTGTTTTCCCTTTTTTAGTGAAACTGATAGTAAAATTTATTAGAAGGAAATACACTTTCAATAGACTGGAAGTGGGTCAACTCTAGAGAGAGAGGAGAATGACTGCATATCTTTTTATGCTTTTCCCCACCCCTGTTTTGCTAAGGAAACCCTCTGCAACCCAAAGGATAAAAAACTATTTTCCGGGTTTTTTTCTTCTAACTTTTACTCTTCTGCAGCCCTGGGGTTTGGAATCAGGGCTCTGGCTTGCTAGGTAGATGCTCTCCCACTCCAGCCATGCCCTCGGGCCTTTTTATTTGTTATTTTTCAGGTGGGCTTTTGTGGTTTTGCACAGGTGGGCCTGGACCACGATCCTTCCACTTATGCTTCCTGCATAGCTGGGATGACAGGTGTGTGCCACCACACCCAGCTTTTTTGTTGAAATGGGGTCTGGCTAAGTTTTTGCCCTGACTACCCTAAAACCAGGATCCTCCTGATCTCTGCCTTTCAAGTAGCTGGAATTACTAGTGTAAGCTGCTGTGCCCAGCCTACTCATTTATTTTTAAATGAGCCTATGATATGATTATGAATTTTATTTTTCCTATATTATCATAATATGTACTAGCACCATTTATTGAATAACTTACTTGTTTAGCCATTGAATTGAAAGGACACATTTTAAAATATATTAAATGTCCATAAAGTTTCACCTCTGAATTATTTGATGAACTTTATACCAGAAACATGCTCTTTTGATTCTGAAATGTTACAGTAAGCTTTAGTGTGTGTTTTGTCTAGTAGTTTCCCCCAGAATTATTTCATGTTAAGCAGCAGTGTTATTTTTTTTAATTCTTTTTTTTTTGCTTTTTGATATTTTGAAACAGGGTCTTCCTATGTATCCTAGGCTGGTCTGGAACTCACAATCCTCCTGCCTCAGTCTTGTTACTGCCAGGGTTACAGATGTGTATCATCATGCCTGGCTTCAGGTGTCTGTCACAGCCTATTGTAATGACAAGCATAAAAACAAATAGAATTCATACGTACTTCATCTGAAGCAGGAAGTCCAGGGGGAATATTAATTCCACTCTGCAATTCTTTGTGTCAGGTCAATGACCTCCATCAGGAGACCAAGAAGCCCACAAGCCCAAGAGATCAGGGTGTGGAAATTGGTGTGCTTTCTGATGAAGATGCTTATTTGACTATACGAAATCCTCGAAAGGTAATTTTCCTAGAGTATTGTGAGAAGGAATGCATGACTCATTCATACACCTTAGTGAGACTAGCCATTCTGGGTCTTTTTTTTTTTTTTTTTTTGATGGGACTGCGGTTTGAACTCAGGACTTTACACTTCCAAAGCAGGTGCTCTACTACTTGAACTATGCCTCCAGCCCATTATGGAAAAATATCAGAATTAATGCAGAAAAGTTGCCAGGGTTGAGTCTTAAGCAAGGGTGTAGGCCAGGCATCTTAGCTTTGCTCGATGACATTTGGGACAGGACACTTCTTTGTAGGATGTTTGGCAATTATCCTTGGCCTCTAACCATTAGACACCTGAAGTATTCTCAGCTGTGATGATTATAAATGTCTCCAGACATTGCCAAAATGTCTCCTTCAAGGTAAAATCAGTGAGAACCACTAATGTAACTCGATTATTTCATGAGTTGAGATAGCTAAAAATAATAATCTCAGTAGAACAGCTTTCTCATTACCTGGCTTCTTTAATGGGGTTAGGCAGTCTATCAGGGTTATAATTTGTAGGGAAGAAAAGTCTGAAGGCTGTGTCTTCACAAAACTAGCTGTTCCTCAGCCATGAAAAAGAGAGAACTATTTCCTGAAGTCAGGCTGATTAGGGGCACTTTATTGCCACCCCTCATCTCTACAGGCCTTTGCCTCATTAGTTTCATCCCTAATAAATCAGACAACAAGGAATTAGGGACCACCATGGCAGGACAGGGTCTTGGTGAATGATTCTGTTCTTCCTTTGTGCAGAAATCTGATGCTGCCAGTGTGCTATCAGAATGCAGCACTATCGATCTACAGGATTCTGATGGACATTTACAGCAAATGGTTCTCCCAAAAAAGCAACCAGAGAGATGTTTACCCAAAGGTAAGTGGCCATATTGTTGTGTACATTTCAGAGTCTTTGGATGGGATTTCTGTTCTTTATAGCTTTATGGTTTTGGTAGTTAGCATCTTTTTATTTCTACCACAGACAAAAGAACAGAGAGGGCACCCAGAGATCCTTAGGGCCATTATCAAGTCCACACAGAGGGGGTTTCAGGAAATTCTTGATTTAGGTATACTCCACCCATAGCCTAACAAGCACGGTAAATGTTTACTCCAGAAAACTTCCCCAGAAAGCTCATTGGGCCAACATATCTGCCACTTTCTACAGTCCCTGGCACATTCATTATCAGAAATATTTGAGGTCATAAATCAAGAGAAAAACTTGGCTATTGTAATTACTGTCTTCAGCATGGATCCAGACTGCCTGAGCCCAAATTCTGGCCCCTCCACTTACTAGCCCTGTCACTTGTTCAATTTAGTTAATCTCTCTATCCCTCACTTATAAAATGAAGACTATAATTGTACCTCCTGCAAAGCATTGTTGTGAATATTAAATGAGTGATTGTTATTAAACACTTAGAGGAGCATTTGGCATATAATAAGCAATCAGTAAATACAGCCTTCCCTGATTCCTCAAGTGGACATAGTGGTTTCCTTCCTACGTGCCTTCATTAGTTCTTGAATTTATGGTGGAGTATTTGTTTGTATCTGTCTCTGCCATGAGGTTCCTAAAAACAAAGGCAGTGACTTTATCAGCACTATTTATCTACTGTGAGAATAGAACCTTGCTCAGCTAATGGGTTTAACAAATGTTGATCAATCATTAAATACATGACAACAAATGAATAAATAAATGTAAAAATTAAAAAGCTCTCCATGACTTTGGGACTAAACTGAGCCCAGAAAGAACATGAAGAAGGGGTGTAAAATTCATATTCCAGATTATTTGACAGCTCCAAAGCTAGACAGTGGCTAGGCTAGAGATTTCCCATAGACTACAGATTTCTTGATTTACATTTTTTCTGTGAAGTGTGTGCAAGATGTCAATAGTGGAGATGGAGCAGATAGGTGGATTTCTATCTGAAGGGAGGAGTGGGATGAGAGGGAGGAAGAAATAGTCCTCTTGGAAGATTTACCTCCTGATGTTCTGAAGACGGAGGAGAAGGGGTGGAATGAGGAGACTTCACAGTGGCTTAGGAACATGGTGAGGAAAGGAGTCGAGTGCTACCATCATGATGAAGTAAAGATCATCAGAATTTGGAGAAGAGGAGGAAGAGCTGGGCTGAGAACAAATGTAACCATTTTGAAAATTGATCAAAATTTCCATGTCTAGCTTGGATGGTTCACAAAGCCTTTGGCCATCCTTCTCTCCTTCCCCTGCAGTCCTTTTGACACCATGTATATGTGCTATTTCCAAAAATTGCTTCATATTTGTTTCGTAAGCATACAAGCCTAGGCACATAACTGACACCCTGTATCTTCCACGCCATCCTATTGGCCAAAGGAAGTCATGTGACTGAGCCCATGTTCAAGGGGCTGGAAAGAGACTAACCTCTTTAGAGGAAGAGCTGCAGGTCACAAGGTAGGAGACATGAATGCAGGATGAGTGACCAGCTGGGGCTACTAATGCAATTTACTGCAGACATTAATGATAGCACTATGGCTGGTTCCTTTCAGGCCTCAGTTGCTGCTTCCCATGCTGTAGCAAAGACAAGAGAAAGTCCACCTGGGTCATTTGGTGGAATCTGCGGAAAACCTGCTACCAAATAGTGAAGCACAGCTGGTTTGAGAGCTTTATTATCTTTGTGATTCTGCTGAGCAGTGGGGCACTGGTAAATTATCATGGGTCTTGTGGGGACATTGGGCATCAGGGGAGCTGGGGAAGCTGCATTGTGACTGACCTCATGGGTCTGCAAATGTGGAGGAGACCATACGGAAGTGGGGTCTTAGCTGCTGGGTCCCTTAGCCGGTAGAGTTTTGTGCAACTCCTGTTACACCTAGAAACTCCCTAAGGCAAAGGTGCTTTACATGTGGGGAAGAGTAACTCTAATCAGTGCTTTCAAGTGACTTCTAGAGTTTAGCACTTGAACCCAGGCCTAGCCATCTGCCCTTCATTCCTGAAGATTTCTAGACACTTTCACTGTATCCCACATGTTTCCTCACCCCCTCACCCCCATCCGAAAACCATTTACCTACTCTGCCTTTTCCAGAAGATTATAGTGCTCCTCATTAAAGACAAAATAATAGGGGAGAAGTGACAGGGAACAGATTTTCATATAATCAGCTGCTCTAGTATTTCCCATCGTTCATGACCCATTGGAAGGAGGGACAAGGAAACCGCTTTATATTCATGATCCTTCCAGATCAAGGTGTGGTATGAGGCTTGAAAATAGCTGAATCCATTGCCTCCATTAGCCATAGAGTCAAACCCTTTCTGCTCCCCCTCCACACCTTCTAGCTCTTCTTGTCCCCTCTCCAGCTCTCCTCGTAGGGTTACCATCTACTCTCTTACTACTTCCCTCTCTCTCTCTCTCTCTCTCTCTCTCTCTCTGTCTCTGTCTCTCTCTCCTTATTCCTCTTCCTCCTTCTTCTACAATCACTCCCTTCCCTTTTAGCATGTATCTTCCCTTAAAATGGTCACAATATGGAACTGTACTCTATTTGTTATGTTAAATGAGCAGAGTCCTGGGTCCCCCTTCTTGATTTAAAGTATCAAATCATTTCATAATACATTTCTAGAAAATAGAGAAGACCTGGAAATTTCTCATTCCTGCACCTCATGCCTTCTGGCTAGTGCTTTATACCTTTGTGATCTCTAAGTGAAGAGAGATAAGTACAGACCTGTGTCCACCAGAGACTGTGATCAACATACATCCCCATTTATCTACTTACTGCAATGGAAATTATTCCTCAAATAAAAAAAGCATATTTCTATAGCACCATCCCAGGGCTCCCTTGACTGATTTTTATTGCTAGTCCTGGGTCTAAGGTTACCTGTTATCTTCTGATGATCACATTTCCACGGCTATCTGCTCTTATTCAAATATTGGGCTTTCTTTTATTTTATTACACAAGTAGCACTTGTGCTAGTCAGTGGGAAAGCAGTGATGCTGTCAGAAGGCCATAGATACATCCTGTGATGTTACAAAGAGAAAATTTATAATTGGTGATATAGCAGAAGGGCATACAATCCTAGTTCACACCTGCCTTCAGAAACAACTGTAGGCTGGGCAGAGCAGTGCTAAATGTACCATGCAGAAGTCACCAAGAAAGAGACCCAGCCCATCTCACTGAATTTATTTGAAGAGAAATGGGAATAAGAAAAATGGTATCCATTGCCCCCACTTGTGGTCTGTGAACCACCATCAGCATCCCTAGAAGCTTATTAGAAGTGCTATTCTCTGGCTCTTCCCAAAGCTGATGAACCAGAATCTACATCATAACAAGGTCTCAAGGTGATCTGGGGCTTCTTAGAATTTGAGAAGCTCTGATCTGGGCAACTATGTAATAACTGTGCAATAATGACATCAGAAAATGGCCTGATTTTCCACAGGAGCCTCCACAGTTCAGTTGCTGGTATTAGCAGGTATATCCATTGAACTAACTCAGACCTGCTTAGCCAGCTTGGGCATAGCTTCCAAAAGGAGAAAGGAAGTGAGCCTCTAATGCCGTTCAGATTTGTCTGTTCTGAAGAGGCAGATAAACAGACAAGTCCTTGGCCTCCTGGACAGACTAGCAATTATACATTAGTGTCCTAAGTGATATACCCAGGCAGCGGTGGACAAAGTGTGACATGGAGGGTTCAGCACCCAATCCAGCCTTGTGGGAATAGGGAAATTCCTATAGAATCTGTGAGTTAAGCTTATATCTTAAGCCTGAGGAGGAGTCAACAGGATAGAGGAGACAGAGGAGCTTCTCTAGTCAAAAACTCAGTGGTAGTTGGAAACAGGACTCCAGGGCAGTGGGCTAACCTTAGTGCCCAACAGCAGGGCTGATTTCCTGTCTGCTTTGACTGTGTTCCTAAGTGTCTTGAGAATTCTTCTTTCTCATTATATCAAGCCTATAGTGATCAATTATGTCTTAATTATATAGATCCTGCAGAATCACACACACATACACACACACACACAGACTTTGAGGAAAATGTTTGGATGTAAAATGAAAAAGGATCTCTCCAAAAACCAGTATGTCTCTTTTTTATAATCACACTTAATTTTAATTACTTTGAATGTTTAAATTACTTTGAATAAGTATTGAAAGTAATATACTGGGAGCTTTGTTTCAGAGCTTCTCAAACTTAATGTGTCATGGCATACATACAATATTGACAATATTTGTCAGGAACACTGGAGTAAAGGGTAAGACTCTTTATCATGGGAGACAATTGATTTCAGAGTTGTCAGGATCTAGAGTGTGAGCTAAGACATTTGAATTCAGTGTTACAAGCAATAGAGAGACACTGAATAGGGCCACCAAAATAACTAAGAGGAAGAAAGAGATGGCCTAGGCCACTGGGTATTCCTGGAGAGTTGTCTAGATATATTTGACAAGAATTGAAAGGATTAGGAAACCTAGGATATAGTACAGTGATTTACCAGCAAGTTTGTATATTCTGGGAGCCAGTAATGAGAGACCATGGAACCACAGGGCTAACAAAAGTATAGAAATAGGATTTCTCATTTTCCTTTGTTCAAAGAATCAGTTCCATTGGAAAGGTCAAACCTTAATACTTTTTTGACCAAAATCTCATCAACAAGACAGATAGTAGTTTTTAATTCATATAAGGAAGAAAAATAAAAGTCAACAAGGAGGGGCTGGAGGCATGGCTTAAGCGGTAGAGCACCTGCCTAGCAAACACGAAGTCCTGAATTCAAATCTCAGTACTGCCAAAAATATGTAAAATAATGTACCTAAGATTACAGTTGTCAGCAGAGAATTCTTTGCAAATATTCAACCTGGTCTATGGCTATGCTCTATTATTTCAGGTATTTGAAGATGTTAAGCTTGTTGAACGACGCCAAATCCAAGTGTTACTAAATTGTACTGACAATATTTTCACATTCATTTTTATCCTGGAGATGGGTCTGAAATGGGTGGCCTTTGGATTTGGGAAGTATTTCACCAGTGCCTGGTGTTGGCTCGATTTCATCATTGTGATTGTAAGTTTACTATCTCTGGGTTCCATGCAGGTTGGATAGGGGTGGAGGAGGGGACTGTAAGGGAGCTGCTTTCCTTTGTGCCTCTCCAAAACATTTTCTTATCATTGTCTCTTCAAAGTATTTACAAGTAGCTTTCATTTGTCCACCAGCAGCCCAGCCTTTCTTGGTTCCACAAACACTTCATCTGCTTCTCCATGATGGCACCCATCTATTTCTCTCCACAAGCACTGCTTATGTCTGATGTGTACCTAGAATAACTTTGAGCACTTTTTCTTTCCCTTCTGCCACATTTCCATTTCTTTTCAAGATTTCTCAAAGCAAGACAGAAGTCAACAGGCTGGACTAGTCCCAAATCCTGTTAGGAAGTATTAAAGAATTGCTCACGTTCATTCTCTCATTTAATATGCATAACAATCGTTCTGAGTTAAGCAGTGCTGTATGATACCTACACATTAAAGATAAGGAAATCAGAAACTCAGAGGATTACCGCTTGTTTCAGGTCATAGAACTGATTAGAGATGAATTGGAATTCACAACTTCCATCTCTATAATGCTAAAGCCACATGTATTGGTTGTTTCTCTGTACTCTGCCATGTGCTCCATATGCCACCTTTCTTTTAGTTATCACAGCCACTGTTTTGGAGGTACTATAATTTCCCGTATATTCAGAGGAAGAAAGTAAGTCATAGAGAGGCTAAGAAACATGTTCACGTTTGCCTGGCTACAAGTGTTGGAGGTGAGGTTCAAACTTACTAAGTCTCTCTCCAAAGCCCTGGATTTTAACATGTACATTGACAGATGTCAATGAGACAGATTTTTTTCCCTGCTACTTAAGGAAATAGATAAGACAAATGTATGAGATAAGCCATGTGGCCAACAAACCACACTGGAAAACCACATTGTTGATGGATGTAAACATGCCAGATAGTTCCAGCATTTTAGGAAAATTCTCTGAGAACTCAAAGACGGAGAAAAAACACCCACATTTGTCAGCTCAATCAATGTCCAGAGTGGAAAGAGCTTCACCCATTATCTTATTGCGTTGTAGTGAAGAACCTGTAGGCAGTGCTAACAGATGATGGTTCTTTTCCATTACAGGTACTTGTTGTTTACTGGATACAAGACCTACACTCAGGACACTGAGTCCTATAGATAATTTATTTGCTCTCTTTCTATGTAATGTTGAGCAGAGCATTTCCCTTTTTATGACATTAGTTTTCTCATGGATAAGAAGGATTATAAATTGCCTAAACTGATCAAATACAAAATAGATTATATAAATCTAGCAATAACACCTAAAATATCAAAAGAAGAAGTCCAAAACCACACTGTCAAAACAGGGCACTAGGCCCAGGTGGTTCCACAGGCAAACTACTGAGGAGCAAGGAGCAGTTAACCCCAATCTTATTCAGATTGTTCCAAAGAATAGAAAAAGAGGGAACTCTTGCAAGCTTATTTAATGAGAATAAGTACAATCTTAATAAGGAAATGAATAGTACAAGAAAAGAAGATAATCTTATAATTATATATCTTTATCAATCGGAGAGAAAGCAATCAATGAGCATGGTTTGCCATTACTGTTATTAGCCTTGGCATCATACAGATTGAAAAGTAAATCCCAATTTTACCACTCAACAGCTTCATGACCAAGTTGTTGGTCCTCTGGACTTCAGGTTCTCCATTGATATGGCAGGTATTATTAAAACTGCCTAGCTTGGGACACTATTGTGCATATCAAATGAGAGACTTTATATGAACAATCCTATATTGTTTGCCCATCAAGATTGCATATACTGATCTTTATCATTTTAGAATGGAAAACATACATATAACATGCATAAAATATACAAATTCAACTATTTCAAAATGTAAAAGTTTTATTTTTCTATTCAATGATACTGAACTTGCACTTAAAGGCAACTAGGGCCTGGGACACAGTATTTGCTGTGTACACACCAGATCATTATTATCCACAATATAAAACTGGTGCAGCCATTATGGGGAAAGTTCTGCACGTTAGGTAAAATTGCAAATGATCCAAATATATAATTCAGAAATGCCACCTTCTGTTATAGATCCAAGGAAAACTCTTGCATATGTATCTGGACAAAAACACACACCTGTTGATTTACTGGGGTTCATAGCAAAGACATGGAAATAACGCAGATATTCACCAAAGGAGAATGACTGTTTATATACTGTGACATTTCACAACAGTTAAAAGGAGCAAATCATAAGAATACATCAACACTAGGGGTTTCAAAAACAGTACAGAGTGATAAGTGCAGGTTAGAAAAAAAGTAAGATCAAACTAGCAGAAGACATCCCATTCGAAGAATTCAGTAGAGTGAAAAAGACTGCTGGTAGGTTTTATTGTTTTTGTGGTACTAGTTTGAACTCAAGAGGCCTTGAGTTTAAATTACTTACCACTTCAGCCATACATCCAGCCCTTTTTGGTTTAATATTTTCTTGGATAGGGTCTTGCATTTTTGTCTGGAGCCAGCCTGGACCACAATCCTCCTATTTCCACTTCCCCCATAGCTGGAATCACAGGTGTGTGGCATCATGCCCACCTTCTTGGTTGAAATGGTATCTCACGAACTTTTTGCCCTGGCTGGCCTCTGACCATGATACTCCTGCTCTCTGCCTCCCAGGTACCAGGGATCGTAGGCATGAACCACCATGACTGGCCAAACTGTGTTTTTATGTGAGCATCTCTCATAAAAGGCACCCATGGATACCTCCAAATTTGGTGAACAGAGTCTGTGGTGAGGTGTCAGGTGAAAAGACAAACAATGGCCCTGCAGAAACACCTCCTCCCACCAATGAGGACAGTGACTTGGCAAAGCCAGAACAGCTAAACTTTGCCATCCTTTCCCTCTGGCCAGGGACAAGGTGGAAGGAGTGTTCTGGAGAAAACTGCTTATACTCCCAACAAGCAATGCTATTACAAAGAGCTTATTTTTATAAGAACCACTATAAATAAAAACATTTTAAATTGATTTCAACTTTTGAAATCTTGTTATTCTGTTATATTCACTAACTCAACTTCTCTTAATTTGCAAATAAGTCACTAGTACAGTTAAGCTGTCAGTATTGGTGGGAATGTTTTGGGGTAGCATCAGTTTGGTTGTGAGCACCATAACTCAGTTCCTGATCAGCTGAGCAACAACTCTTCCCAGACCAACCTCTGAAACCCCTCCATGACTGGTAAGAGTGACTGAGGAATGGGAAAGTGTGGTCTTAAGTTCAGCATCTTGTTGAGTTTTCTTTTAGTGTACTTTGGTCTTTCTGTTAGGGAGAAGCATTTGGGCTACAAAAATACATTTTTCCCCAAAGGGAGCTATTCGAATAAGAAGAAATACAGCAAACAAATTATTTTTTCTTTGCAATTTTTTGTTTTGATATTATTTCAAGCTTACAGAAAAGTTGCAAGTAATCTCAGAGTGGACTCCTCATATTCTTTGCCCAGCCTCACCATTAGTAGCATGTCAGCCACCTGCTGTCATTCTCTGTCTGTCTTTCTCACTCTATTTTTTTCTGAACTTCGTAACATTAAGATGCAAGCATTATGTCCTTTTACCTCTAAATATTCTGGTATGTATTTCCTAACAAGGTCATTGTCTCACATAACCACAACATGATAATCAAAGTTAGGAAATTTCACACTAAAATCCACACCTATTTTCAAATGTTGCCAGTTGTGGCAACAAAGATTCTTCATGGGTAATTGTCTCTACGTACCCACTCCTTGCCTCTGTCCCACCCAGTATCCCATACTGCATACCATTGTCCTATTCTTTTGTTTTCCCATAATTTATATTATATTAGCTTCACAGTTTTTGTCTTTCATTAAACAATGACTTAAATGAATCATCCCCACTGTACCTTTGCCAAACAAGGAGAAAAGTGAACTCTCCATCTGCCATCCTCTTTCCAACAAGATTGGCTTGTTTCTGTGCTCTGACTCTCAGAAGGAGGGTCTGAAACCTCTCTGGCTTCCCAGGGCACCAGCAGGCACACTCACCAGTCAGGTTCTCCTCCTACCAGGTGTCTGTAGTCAGTCTCGTTGATTTAAAGAACTGGAAGTCCTTCCGGACCCTGCGAGCACTGAGGCCTCTGCGAGCACTGTCTCAATTTGAAGGAATGAAGGTACATTTCTCCAGGTAGATGGGTGGAAATTCAGCTTACAGGGAAAAGTGAGGAGGCTAAAAGCACTTCTGGCCCTCATATTTCCTTAAACTGCCAGACATGTCCTGGGGTTCTTTCCACTCAGCCCAGTGTTTAGTCATTGAGAGAAGTGGAAAAAAGTCTTAAGATATGGTCCCCATGGATATGTGAAACAGTGGATAGTACTGAATGCTATGAACATTATGGTTCTTTTCATATATGAATATGATAAGGTTTAATTTATAAATTAGGCATAGTACGAGATTAACAATAACCAATAATAAAACAGAGCAATGAGAACAACAACAACAAAAAAAAGATACGGTCCCCAACTTGAAAGAGCTTCTGGGACAGCTGAGGTGGGTTCTTGGCTTCCCTTCATAATCAAAGGGCAAGTATCCCCTATGTCTCCAGCCAGCATCACAGGACATTTCTCACGTTATCCTCAGTGGCAACAGGGCTTGTCATGGGGTGGGGGCAGGGTGTAAAAACAATTTCAAGAGATCCAGCTTTGCATGTCAGACCAATCCTGGGAAGATCAAGAGCCTGGTGGGTCCTACCATCTGCTATGTTTTTCAAAACTCTGTTTCATTTCCTTAAGGTGGTGGTCAATGCTCTCATAGGTGCCATACCTGCCATTCTGAATGTTTTGCTAGTATGCCTCATTTTCTGGCTCATATTTTGTATCCTGGGAGTAAACTTCTTTTCTGGGAAGTTTGGAAGATGCATTAGTGGAACAGATATGAATGAATATATAAATTATACCAAGATTCCAAACCGAAACCAATGTGAGATTGGCAATTACTCCTGGGTGACCCCAAATGTCAACTTTGACAATGTGGGGATGGCTTACCTCGCTCTGCTGCAAGTGGTAAGTGCTGTCAGCATAATCTTCACTCTGAGAAGAGAAAACTTGTAAGAATCATTTTCCAGCTAATAAAAATCCAGGATTCTGTGCCTTGTTTTCCCAGGGACAAAATTGATGAAAAGGGTTCCAATACGCTCTATTCTCCATGAATATAAGAGATTCTAATCCTAATTTCTCATGTGGGAGCCAATGCCTTCTGGAATTGCTCCTTGCTGAGCCTCTCCAACTCTGTTAACGACTGAGCCCCACCTTCTAGACACACAGTTTTAAGGATCTGTTCCTCTCACCTTGCTTTATATGACACTTCACTTGCTGCCCAGAGTTCCTGACAGAGAAGAATGGAGTGTTAAATGCAGGCTGTGACATTTTGAACAGTTTCTTGTTCAAATCACAGTAGCTAGGTCTTGGACAGGTAATGCAGACAGATGTGGCATCAAACAAAAGTCTGATCAGGCTCTTTGCAGTAGTTTGATCACAGTTTCTCTAATAATCTTTAACATAGAAATTTCTTTTGTTTTTAAACTTTTGTCCTGTGCAAATGAAAAAGAAGGGGAAAAAATGCAAGACATCCATCTTTAATTCCCTTCATTCTGGACTGGAGACATGGCTCAGAGGGTAGAGTGAATGCCTAGCAAGTGCAAGGCCCACGTTCAAATCCTAGTATTGCCAAAAAAGAAAAGTCAATAGGCTCCCTTCATTCTAGTCTGGAAATAGTGACATCATTCTACAGAAACCCACCCATAGGGCCTGGCAAGCTTTTGCACAGTGTGTGTCTGTTGATGGCAATTCTACAGTTGTGTCCATGTTTCTCTGCTTCTGTTGCAGGCAACATATAAGGGTTGGCTGGACATTATGAATGCAGCAGTTGATTCCAGAGGGGTGAGTCTACGTTCCACTCTGTTCTAGAATGTTAGAATCAAATTAGGGATATCATGTATGTATTGACAGTCTAAAACTTCCAGCATCCAGGATTCTCTGCCTTGTTTTTCTGGAGAGCAATTTACAAATACCATTGCCTGGTAAAAGGGGCTCTAATGCATTTTTCAGTGAGAATATGACACCTCAGTATTCTCTTAAGTCCGTTGCCTTTCTCCATGGTGACTGAGAAAAAAGCCATTCATGCAGGAGATGGAACCAGAAGCAACAGAATCAGCATACCTTGATTTTCCTCTCATGTGATCTCCCAATGGGTAGACAGGAAGAAGCCAAATTTTAAAGTCTACTTGCCTGTGGGGGAGCATTAGAACTGGACAAAATCTGAAAAAGAGAGGCCTTCTCATGTCCCCAGGTACCTTGGAGAATAGAGGGGAGTCTGGTGATTGTCAAGTATTGGATTCCAGTTTTTCAAAAAAAAGCATTCATAGGTTTCCAAAGGTGGAAGAGCATTCAGCAACTTAGTTTATTTTCTATTTCCCAGTTGGGCAAATTGCAAAGTAGAAAGCCAGGGAGTTGCCTAAAGCCATAGAGCAAGTAGACGATTGAGTCAAGAATGGAATCAATAGTCTGGGTACCAGTGACTCATGCCTATAATCCTAGCTACTCAGGAGGTAGAGATCAGGAGGATAGTGTTTCAAAGTCAGCTGGTGCAAATAGTTTGTGAGACCTTATCTCAAAAAAACCCATCACAGAAAAGGGCTGATGGAGTGGCTCAAGGCCCTGAGTTCAAGCCCCAGTACCAAAAAAAAAAAAAAGAAAAAGGAATTAATAGGAAAAATGTTTATTGTTTAGCATATGTATGTCTGCAGTAGTAGCATTAGAGGTGGTGTGCATGATGTCATAGCAGCACTGAGGAATGTGAGTTCATCTTTATGGTTGTTCTAGTTCTTATCGTCAGTTCACAGACTGCACTCAGATGAAGCATAGCAACAACTCTGAGTATGCTTAATTTTGAATGTGCTAATAAATGCAGTTTCTGGAAAGACAAAGCTAATAGAAACTTAACTGTTTAGAATAATTACAATTATCTTATAGTATAATTATACTATATATAATTATATAAGCATAGCTCTGTCTACAATATAATTTTATAATTATCGTTGGTAACAAAGGAAAATTTGAAATGTTAATGTACTCATTTCTTTTTTCTTTTTGAGTACATGAGCCTGACCTTAGTTTGCCATGGGCAATGGTCAGCCTTCTGGTGGAGATTGGGGTGGGAAGGAAGGCTTTCGTAGATGTATGGCAGAAGAGGTGTGTGGCTTACAAATGCTTCCAGAGCAAGTGGTAGATGGATGAAAATGTGTGGAAGGCTCTGTTCTGGTGCTGGTCTTGGTGTATGCCAGCTGTTGTATGCTAGGTTTTGACATGATGGCCCTTATCTGCATAGTCACAGAGCAACCTGCTGGTCTCAGATACTAAAACCATGACTGGTAAAATCATGAGTTATTCTCCCTCTCAGCTCCTCTTGGCCTCAAATACAGACTCTCAGCCATATCCTCCACCTGGTCCCTGGCCCAGAAGGCTACTCACATCCCTTACTATCAGGTCCACCACTGGCAAGTCCATGGCTATCAACTCCATGTCTAAGCCCACAGGAACGAGAGATTCAGAAGACTTCTCTCTGTCTGATAATGTCACCCCAGCCCCTTAAGTCAGCCTGCCTGTCCGATGCATCCCAGGCCTTCCAAGAAGCAGTTTCCTCCAAGAAAAATACAGAATCAAAGTAAGAACACTTTCTTTGCCTTCCATATTACCCTCAATTTATTGAGCCCTAACTTCCTTCTGCAGACCAAAAAAGAATGAGGACATGAATCTTGCAATTCTGATTCTGTCTCTCTCTGTCTCTCTGTCTCTCTCTCTTTTCCTCACAATTCCCTAAGGACAAATAAGGTGAACTTTTGTCCTTGCCCCTTCTTGTCTGAACCACTCCTGCATAAAACTCTTCCCTCCAAGGCTTTGATATACCAAAGAGTGACACAAAGGAATGTAGACTTTCTTCAATCTCAAGGCAATAGCATAACTTGAAAGACTATTGGCCCACTGGATAGTCTTATTTTAAATGTCAGATACTGAATATTAATTGTTTCTATCATATTATTTCTCTACTAATGCCTATTCTTTGTTGAGAGAAATGGAAGCCTCAAGCCAATAGAGAATGTTAATAATTATCTCCATTACATTAGTCTATATGGTTGATGTTGATAACAGATATTAGAAATACATTCCAAAGATGGCAGAGCTATGAACACTCATAGCTATATCTTTGAAGGTGATCAAGAGGAAGAAAAGGAAATCCGTTCACCATCTACCACAAAGTGCATGAAGCCAATGAAAATATGTACAAATTATTCATCCAACAAGGAATTAATATCCAGTATGATAAGGAACTCAAACAACAATAAAAAAGTCTGATTTTAAAATGGGAAAATGACTTGAATTAACATTTCTCAAAAGGGGATATACAAATGGATAACAAATATATAGAAAAATGTTCAGTATTATTAATCATCAAGGAAATACAAATCAAAACCACAGTTCTTGCCCTAGTAAGAATAGCTATTATCAAAACCAAAGAAAAAAAATGCCAGTGAGGATGCAAAGAAAGGACTCTCATACACTTACAGAGACTAGTACAGCTGTTACTGGAAACCGTATGGCAGTTCCTCAAACAACAGAAGTAGAACTTACACATGATCTACCAATCCTACTACTGGGTATGTATCCAAAGAAATTGAAATGAGTACGTCAAAGAAGCATCGGTACTTGCATGTTTATTGAATCTCTACTCACAATAGCTGATGTGGAATCAATCTAGGTGTATACCAATGGATAAATGGATAAAGAAAATGTGGTACATGCAGACAATGGAATAATATTTAGTCATTAAAATGAATGTAATCCTGTCATTCGCAACATGGGTGGAACCAGAGGGCATTATGTTAAGTGAAATAAGTCTGGCACAGAAAGACAAATACTGCATAATCTCACTTATATGTGGAAGCTGAAAAGTTGATGTCATAGAAGTAGAGAACAAAATAATGGATAGCAAAGCATGGAAAGGGTGTGGGAGAAGGGAACTGGAGAGAGAATGGTTAAGGGGGACAGGGCTGATGTTGGGTAGGAGGAATAACTTGTAATGTTCTGTAGCATGGTAGAACATTTATGATTGACAACAGTTAAATGAATATTTCAAAAGAACTATTAGGATTTTGAATGTTCGCAACACAAATAAATGATAAGTGTCTGAAGTTGAGGATATGCCAATTACTGTAAATAAAATCTATATTTTAATGCAGAAGATATATTATGTATAATGTATATCACAAATATAATTTATTGTTATTATAATGCTACATATAATATATGCAATGCACATACAAAGCCATGTGAAGAAGTTGGATTCTTTGGGTTACACCTGGAGCTGGGAGGGCTTGGTCATGGTCAGTCTGTGTCCCTTCTGAAGCTTGATCATCTGTTCATTCATTCATTGCATATTGACAATGCGTCAGGAGATATGGCAGGCACTATGAATTTAGGAGTGAAAGGATACAACCATAAAGAGAAGTGTGATGTCCATTGGAGGGCTGCAGTTGCTCACTGCTGGGCAACAGTGTAATCACCTCTGCCACTTCTGTGGATGTGCCACTTCTCTGGAGACCTCCTCTCTAGTCTTGTTCCCTATAAACACACATCCACAGAGACACTGAAGGAACTTTCAAAAGACAAATCTGATGATGCCATATCTGTCTATTTCAATCCTTTAATGATGCTCATTGATTGGAAGAAAAGTCCAATAATGGAAGACTAATGGCAGGGAATTGGTGGGAATGGGAGGGGAAAGGAAAAGATACTGAGGGTGAAGAGAATGGAACCATTCTACATCTATGCATGTGAAGAAAGCATAATGAAACCCACCAAACACTGTTGCAAAGAGTGGGGAGGCAAGTGAGGGGGAATGGAAATACAACAGAGGAAGTGAACTTGTTCAAGATACACTCAATGCATGTATGGAATTGTCACAATAAGAACTCCCTTATTTTAATGTATGATAATTCAAAATAAAATTTAAAATAATTTTTAAAAAGAAAAGCCCAAGCCTCCAGATCCCCACGATGTGCACTGCTGAGCCAAACTTGCTAGGGGACACTGATAAGCCAAGGGACACTGAAGAAAGTTTTCCCACCCAGCCCACTGCTGTTGGAAAGAGGTTATGTGGTTAAAGTCACTGCTGAGAAATACTTTCATTTTCTAGCTAAAGCAGTTATGATGGCTTAATTTTCTCCAGTAATTGTTTTTTCTCTCATTAAAAAATCCCTAACAGAAAGAAGAACAGCCAGCGTTTGAGGCGAATCAATACGCATACATTTACTTCGTAGTTTTTATCATCTTTGGCTCGTTCTTCACTCTGAATCTCTTTATTGGTGTTATTATTGACAACTTCAACCAACAGCAGAAAAAGATAAGTATGTGGGTTGTCCTGATTTGGTCATCGTCCCTGTTTTGCACAGGGCTTTAATAGAGCATAGTTCTAATGGGCAGAGCGATTACTCAGAACATCCTTTGTGATCTGCGTAAGGACAGATCTCTGCCTGAAGAGACGAACCGAAACACCGGGGTTTATCACCTCACTGTTTTTACTCCGCCGTATCTTAACGAACATCGTTGTTGTTGAGATTAAGCCTGATGCTCTTTGGACCCTAAGAGAATGACAGCTGCCGGGAGTAGTATTTATGAGCCTACTCTAATATTTAATAACATTTCAGTCATACTTTGTCACGCACAGTAAAAAGAATGGACTTGGCTATTTCAACAGACTTGTGTCCTGCCTCCCAACAGCCTCTGTGGGTCTACTGAACCTACTTAGAGGGAAGACCACTGGGGAAGAGGCAGAGCTAGCGAGATTCCCACCTCCAAGCATCACAGTAAACAGATGTTTATTTTTCTGTCTCTAAAGTCCACAGGAGCTATGTTATAACTGTGAAAAATTAAGGAAGATAAAAACAAAAATTTAAATCCCTCTACAACAATCACCAAATGATAACCAGGTTAGACAATCCCCTCCAGTAACTTTCTAACCAAGAATATTTACTCTTTACATGGTTGGGATTGCATTATGTTTTTAATTTTGTGGTTTATGAGCTCATTAGTAGTGAACCTCTGTCGTGAAATCATTTTTGCTGTAATAATTTTTAGGGCTGAATTATATCCCTTGAAATGGATATGCCAAAATTTCTCCTGATCTCCCTCTTTTTGGACATTTAGGTCATCTCTAAATTTTTTGCTGTTTTGAACAATCATGAACATTATTGAAATTCTTTGTATCTGATTATTTCCTCAGGATAACTTCCTATAATTAGGATATTTAAGGCATTAAAGATATTATCAAATTGTCTTCCAGAAACACTGTGGTAGGTAGACTCTTTCTGAGGAATATGAAGATGTTTGGCTCCTCGCTGTTCTGATGGTTGTAATTCATGATGTGCTTTCTGGACTTATGGGGAAAGCATTGCGTGTTTACTTACTTGCTCATTAGTGAGTTCACACGCTTTTTCACAGGTTGATGACCACAAGCACTTCTTAAGAATCATTAGTTTATATCTTTTCTCTATTTCTTTTTTTCTTTTTGTGGTACTGGGCATTGAACTCAGGGCCTCATTGCTTGCTAGGCAGGTGCTCTACCACTTGAACCACACCCTCAGCCTTTATGCTTTTGTTAATTTTGAGCTAAGGTCTTGTTTTTTGCCAGGGCCATCCTGGACTGAGATCCTCCTATCTGTGCTTCCCCACTTTGCTGGGATGACAACCATGTACCACCATGCTTAGCCATTGGTTGAGATGGGGTCTCGTGAACTTTTTTTCCCCAGGGTTGGTCTCAAACCATGATCCTCCCAATCTCCACCTCCTAAGTAGCTAGGATTATAGGTTTGAGCCACTGTACCTAGCCTCTTTTGTCTATTTTAAGACAGATTCTCATCTTTTTCTTCTACATTTTTAACATAGTAAGTTCGATTTGTGACTTGCTTCTTACATTCTTGTTATGACATTTTTTCACTTAGAGATATGAGTGCTTTTATGGATTTAAACTCTTGGTGTTCTTTTTGTCTTCACTTCTTGCTTTTATGAACCAAAGGTATTTCTCAATCTCCAAATCAGGTGGCTCAATATTTACCTTCAGTTTTCCTAATGGTTTTAAAGCTTTTTAGTTTTTCTGTTGAATTCTTGTAATTCATCCAAAAGGTATCTTTGTGCCAACTGGCCTTCTTAGCATTTGCTGGGGAAAGTCATTTTCTATCATTACACTGTGTTGTTTCTGCTACTCAGGAGGAGGAGCAATGCAGAGTCCATCTGTAATATGCATCTTTATTGCTATCAATACCTGCAATTTGGAGTCAGTCCTTGTGACTTTAGACTTAAGCTTACATTAGAAATCAGTGCTTGATCAGTCCATAGCATCCATTTGTTTTGTTTTGTGTTTTATTATGGAAAACTTCAAACATGTATAAGAATGTACTGGAATGAACCTAAAGCACCCATACCCCAGAACACCACTACTGACCTGAGAGAAGCCTTGTGCCAGCTGTACTCTTACTGAACCCTGCCACCAGATTGGCTTTATGGAGCAACTCACAGACATCACATGATTTCATTCATAAATATTTCAGAAAATACCTCTTTTTTAAAATAACTGCAATTCCATTATCACACCTAAAATTTTTAACTAGAATTCTTTAAATTCATCAGTCTATATTGAAATTGCTGTGAGCCTTTAATTTTCTTTAAAGATTTATTTATTAATTTTATTATTTATTTTATTTATTTCTAGTAAAGTTTTGTTTTGTTCTGTTTCCAAATCAGGATTCAAATAAGATCCTCCCATTTAACAACTGACAAAATATTCAGGCTTGGATTGGACCCTTTCTGCCCTACATCTGCAATCAGCCATTTATCTAAGGAATGCCATTTGCTGCTGTTTGTTTGTTTGTTTTCATGGGAAATGGCATTCCAAGACCACAATCTGGTATGCTTATTGTCATTGTTTCTAAGTATTTCCAGTGGAGATAGCTGCTTCCTATCAGGACTTCAAGGAAACAGACATGTGGAAACGTGCACACTGATAATTCAGTTAACCTCTTCTTTCATACATCTGTCTCTCTTCTTTTCCACACTGAGAAACCTGTTTCTCAACAGCATAGGGATGATGACAAATTAAAAATCTCCACAATTACTCATTTTATATATCCCACAACACACACACACACACTACAACCATCAAAATAATAGTATTAATCCTATTGTGATGACTATGATTACTAATTGATTTATTTCTGCTCAGCATCTGAAAGCAACCTGATTATCTTCTAGGTTCACTTCTAGGGTTGTGCATGTTTGGCTCACACTGGTGAAGTAATTCAGACCCCACGCCTTCATCCAGACAAACATGGAGTTAGGAATTGTCAGGGAGACTAGGTTTGGCCTCCTAGTCTTGGCTGAGGGTGTGCTAGCTGCTCCCATCGCCAAGAGATCCTCTGTTTTCTTCTTCACCCTTTCATGGGGGCTCTTTGAGAACCCCAGGTGTTTTGGGGCCCTATTGGAGTCTCTCCTTCTGTATAAGCCCATTGCCTTTTTCCTATGACCCCCTTATAATTGTTAAAACTCCAGATTCTAGTTTACAGAGATTAGCAGATGCTCATAGGTCAGCTATTTGGGATTCACTCACCACTGTTTTCCTTATCTCTCAGTGTTCGGAAACTGGGAATTTTTTTTCTCACTTCTGTACAAGTTCAGTTATACATTTAGAATGCATTCTGGTCTAGTTTAGGTGGGATTTCAACATTTTTCCCTGTGAACTTCCAGAAATGAAAATCTTCACTCATTTTTCTTGCTCAGCTGTGAAAATATTTAAAACTCTGGGTTTTTTCCCTAAGAATGTTTCTGGGAAATTTTTAAAAAGAATTTTCTTAGTAGTGCTATTTGTATTTACTAAGGAAATATGCTACTTTCTGAGATTTTTATGTAAATTTTTTGTTGTTAATTTCTATTGTTGTTGTATTGTGGTTTAATTTATACAACCTGAAATATATCCAATTTCATAAAGATTCTGTGGGAAGCTTACAAATAATTTATAATCTTCGTGGTAGAAAAGGTGAACTATGACCGATAACAATAACCTTATTTCTTCCTTATTCCTTAACTTAAAAGTATTTCTTTTCAGCATTCCTTTAGAGCCCAACTTCTTTTGCTTTCTGTCGGAATTGTAGGAACTACATAATGTATCTTTAGAATTGTTTCTAAATGTTTAGAACATGATTTCAAAACAAAACTGTTAAGAGTAATTAGCTCTTATCTTCTTCATATACTTAGGTGGCCAAGACATTTTTATGACAGAAGAACAGAAGAAATACTACAATGCAATGAAAAAATTAGGAACCAAAAAACCTCAAAAACCAATCCCAAGGCCTCTGGTGAGAGCAACTGTATAATTCAGATAAGATTGTGACAAAGTCAGATTTCTGCAAAACTATCCTGAAAAGTTTTAAATTTTATGTACATTATCTCAGAATTTAGCAAAAATCCAGATACGCATTGGTCCTAAGGAAAATTAGTATACATATTCATTAGCAAGAATCTTGGCAATAAATTTAATTTTTAGTAAACATACCATATATACTATGTGCAGGGACACATATGTAGCAGTTTGAACTTGACCTTAACTACTTTAAAATAAATTTGTAATATCCTTTTCCAGTGTGTGTGGAGTTGTTAGTGTGAAGTTAAGGTCATGCATACTCATGTCTACTTCACAGGTCTTTATAATAAATGCTTGACAAATGTTTTCTGTAAGGGATCAGATGGCAGGCGTTTTAGGTTCTGCTGGCCCTACACTCTCTGCCACTACTCCTGCTCGCTGCTGCTTAGCACAAAGTAGCCACAGACAAGAAAGCACAAATGAATGTGACTGTGTTCCAACACAACTTTACTTACAGACATAGAAATATGAATTTCATGTGTCACAGTTTTTATTCTTTTGATTTTTTGTCAAACATTTAAACGTGCAGAACCCGCTCTGAATCCATGGGCTATACAAAAACAGGCAGCTGGCTGTACTTCACCTTGGCCTAATTTGCTGACCCTGCTGTCTATGAATCCTGCTTCTTCTGTTACTTGGGGCAAGGTAGAGACAGCACCCAGTGCTTCCTTGTACCTGTAGTCTAACTAAGAAGCCAGATGCTCTGTCCACATTTCAAAGCAGTGGATTATGAAGTATATGTTGAGTATCCTTAATCCAAATCCTGAAATCTGAAATGCTTCAAAATCCAAAACTCTCTGAGTGCTAACGTGACACCACAAGTGGAAAATTCCACACCTGACTTCATGTGATGAGTCACAATCAAAAATGTGAGCACACCAAAAATGTTATATAAAATTATCTTCAGGCTATATACATAAGGTGTATATGAAACATTAATGAATCTTGTAAACGTTTGGACTTGGGTCTCATCTTTAAACTATCTCATTATGTATGTTTAAATATTCCAAAATTCAAAAAAAAATCTAAAACATTCCTGTCCCAAGCATTTTGGATAAGGTATACCCAGCCTGTGATTGGCAGGCCTGGTGAGTGCTCTGACCAGTGAGATTGAAAGCTTTTGTGGCAGGAGGGAACAGTGGGGACTGCAAAGTGGGGAAAGCAGGTGGAAGACGGCCTTGCAATCTGAAACATGCAGAGAATTTGGGACATTCTCATTTGAACTGAAACGTCAAATGATCAAAGGTATGTTTAGTTTACTGCCATCGCAGCACTGGCAACAGAGCCTGGCATAAAGTGTGCTCTCATCAGTTACTTGTTGAACGAAAGAGTGTGTTTTAGGACACAAACAGAATCCATCCCACTAGGATTAAATATTTGAGCCACAGTTTAAATATCTGTGACTGTCAGGGCCAAGAATTTAGAAGTTATCCTTTTTATGGTGAAGGATATTTTGACCTTAGGGTTAATGATGGAATTATATTTGAGGAGGTTTAATTGGTCAACAGTATGTGAAACTTCAATCTTCCTAAGTCAAATCTAGTTTTAAAATACTTATATTACTTTCTAGTACTAATTGCATTTTCAAGTTTTCATTTGAACTTGAGCAACACAACAATAAGACTTGGTTTCCATATGTGTGTTATACCACCACTAACTTCATACCAGTTGGTCCAGGGATTGAAATTTACTTAAAGTATTTCAAGACACATTAGGCCACCATATTTACCAACTTATTTCAAGCAGTGGGGCACACAGCCAAACAGAAGGTACCTGACCCCCTCAAACACCCACTGTACATGGCATGGTAGAGACAAGACATCAACAAAGTGTGCATGGATTACTTTGCAGGAAAACCAGTACCTTCATCCTTAACCATCTTCTATAACATGCTTGTCACAGGGGTCACCTGGGAGTAGGTGCCAAGTCACAGCCCTCTCTATGACTCTCTGTGTAGCCACAACCCACCAATCAAGCCAGAATGGCTTGATAACCAAGTACAGTCTCACCAGTTAGCACTGCATCTCAATTTCTGCCTTCCAGAGAATAGTGGGCATGAAATAAATCCAGCATTGTGTTCCCAGATGTCCTCAAGTGTCAGCTAAAACTTAAAACTTTACATTTTTTAATCTCTAAAATCTAAATTTTATCTTTTGTCCTGTGAAGCAAATGAATAGCAATTGCAAAGGGAGGCAAACCCAGCTGTGTTCGCCTAATTATTCATACCCCTTATTTCTAGCAATAGCATAGGACATTTGGAATCATTTCCGATTTCTCCTGAAGTGTCTTTACCAAGTGGCTTTATTACTTGGTTTAAAAATTGTACTAAGCAGGGTGTTATGGTGCATGCCTGTAATCCAGAACTTGGGAGGCTGAGGCAGGATGATTGTGAGTTCGAGGCCAGTCTGGGCTACACAGCAAGACCCTATTTCAAAAACAAGTACTACTAATAATGATAATAGCAATAATGACGTATAGGAGCCACTATATATTCTAAAGCAACATGGGATTCTTTCTGATCATCTAACATTTTAAGCAATTTACACTCCTGATTTGTCTGTTAGAATTAGGTATAAGGCCAATACTTACCCTCCCTCATGTTTCTCCTTGCCCCTGTTCTGTTTGCCCAGAGAGTACCCTTTAAAGTGTCTTTTCTACATCTCCTTGCTGACTGACCAGATAGATGCATTCTCACATAGGAAATGTGCTTGACTTTCCAGTGTCTTCTCCAGGCTCCTTGATAAAAGTGGGGGGCTCCCAGTACATGGTTTGAAGATTACCAGCGTCAATGTAGTGCCCCCCACCATGTTATTCCCGTCCCTACCTCTTCCTTCTCATTGCTTTTGCTCGCCCTGGATGATGTAATTCATTCTCATGGTTTTGATTACAGCAGTGTTAGAACCATTGAACTTCACATCTGTAGTCCAGCTTTTGCTCAGCTCCAAACACATACTCCTACCTGCTCGTAGCCCTTGGATGCCCCACCAGCACCTCTAATGTGACATGCTCCAGACAGAACTCTATCTCTTTCCTTCAAAAATTCCTCAACCTCCATTCTGTGTTTGTTTAAATGGATTCACCAACCAAGGTTGCTTCAGCCTTTCTTTTCCATAGCCTCATGCACTCAAACACTCAGACTGCTCTTGCCTCTACCTCCATGTTAGCTCTTAAACCTATGTGCTATACCTTTATCTACTGTTACCACCACAAGCCAACATCTTTTGCCTGAATTATCATAACAAATCCCTTTGAAGTTTAAGGATGTATTCTTAGGGGTCTCCAAGTTCTCTAAATGGACTATTGTATGCATACTTTGATTAGACAATAATATAAAAGAATACAATATATACATGTATTCTCAAAGAAGCAAAGTATTTTCCAGATGCCATCCAATTTCAGAGTCTGAGTTTGTGTTTAAAGATAGTTTTCCAAAAAAAAAAAAAAAAACAAAAAAACAAAGTAGTACTTCATAGCAGTTACATTAAGGAAAGTAGTGGAATAATTGAGTCATTTCACTGCACAGGATGGACCAGGCATGCAAACTAGAGCTAGAACTTGAACCAGAGAGATCAGCTTATACTCATATTTTGGGCCATTTGTCCATCTCTATAGAAACCAATATACAAGTAGTTCATTTTCAATAATAATATGAGATTATCAGTTTTATTTTCTCCATTTTTAGTAATCATTGGATCAGAATGCTCTTTATCTAGCCTGTTCTAGCAAGAGTTAGAAAACTACCATTTGAGAGTTGTTTAAATACAGAATTTTGGTTAAGTTCTGATTCTTTTGAACTGGCAAGTAGAGCCTTCGAGATGTTCCATTTTGTCCATGATACTTATGTAAACAGATATTCTCTGCATTAATCTTACTGGAGTAAAATACAGAAACAGATGACATATAGAGATCGAGGTTCTTCTTTTTATTACAAAATTTAACATGAGCTGTTTTTCTTTCAGCAAAACATCATCTTTCATATCAAAGTTATGTTGCTGCTAAGAATTTTCCATCTATAGTTTTTGTTTTAAAGTAGAATTAAAACTAGAATTCTAAGCACTTAAAACTACTTATCTAATTAAATCTAAATGAAAATAAGGCAACACTGGGAGCCTATAAGAATTGCTTTCCCTTTGAGACGGGTCTGTGCATTTTTCGAGGTACTGACTTCATTGTAAGGAAAGAACAAATTCTGTGTATTAATGTGTACATTTTTAATTATTGTGATTTCATTATTCCTCAAAATGATCGATGATCTCTTTTTTCTTTTTCTCCTCAGAACAAATGTCAAGGTTTTGTGTTTGATCTGGTCATGAACCAGGTTTTTGACGTCATCATCATGAGTCTTATTCTCTTAAACATGATTATCATGATGGCTGAATCAGATCACCAACCCAAAAACGTGAACTCGATCCTCGATAATCTCAACATAGCCTTTGTGGTCATCTTTACAGTAGAGTGTCTCATCAAAATCTTTGCTTTGAGGCAATACTACTTCACCAATGGCTGGAATTTATTTGATTGTGTGGTTGTGGTTCTTTCTATTATTAGTAAGTAAAGTCAGCAGCCAGAGGGTCTTTAAACTGAGAGTCAGAAATAAACCCATAAATATTATCATTTGGAAATCTGCCCAAACTATCCACAAAGCAAGAGATTAGGCTTAATGTGGATTCTGAAAAAATAGACAGGTATGCTAACGCCACTGTCTACTGGGAAGTTGCTAGGAGATAGTAATTGCTCTTCCATTTCCTGTCTACACAACTGAAATCAATGCATTCGATGGAGAGAAACAAAATTAAAATTACTTGGAAGTTTTTGGTGGCATTTGATTTATCCAGGTAACTGAGTCCAAGTTTTACCTTTCCTAAGCAATTTACAGTTTTAAGGGTTTGACATTTAGTGCCCATGTTTTTCCTTTGTCCAAAATCTAGGTAGTTGTCAGATCAAAATTATTAGACCTTAGGCCTTAATAGGCCTTCTTCACCCCCTATTCAGGCTTCCAAAACGGATACAGACAAGCAATGTTTTCTCTTTATTCTGAGTCACATGTTTACTTCCCACAGTGTAACTATGCTTGTCTCAGCTGCTTTCACCCATTCACCAGCCAGCCTCTCTCTATAACCAGTAGCTCTTTCTTAATCATAGACAAGTCACATAAACTGTAAAGCTTATGGAAGAATAAGGAAGGGAGTTATTGCCATATACTGCATACTTTTGTGGCGTTGTTTATTTTTGTGGGACTGGGATTGAACCGAGAGCTTTGAGCATGCTAAGCATGCCCTCTGCCACTGAGCTACACCCCTAACCCCTGCCATATATCTTTCTATGCTCACATACACACAACTTTGAAATTAAAATATTTGTGGCTAAACCATTAGAGTTTACTCTGGATCTTTAAAATCTGATTTTACTAAACCACTAATTTGACTTTTTATAACTATGTAAAACTGCTCAGGAGCCCTTTGCATAGTTCAGAAAGCAATGAAGACAAGGAAAATTGATTTTACAAGTAGATGCTTCTCAGAAATGGTGCATCAAACAGATAGGTTGGATCAAAATATTTTAGCTCCCATCGCTACAGCAGCAATGCAGATGTGTCAGAGAGCAACTGATTTCTAAGCCACGAACTTTATATAAAGTGTGACAATAGATCCTTCCATGTGCTTACAGTTAAATAGACCTTTGATCTTATAAATCAGTTACAATTACAAATCCTGATGAAACTGACAGCAGCAATTACAGGTAGACAATGGTGATAGGGTGAGTCCAGGCAAGCCTTTGGAGCTCTAGGAATCCTTACTCTGCTGTGCAAAGTACCTCTCCTTCTACAGCTCAGTTTCTGGAAATATCTCTGACATCCGTCCTTTGATAAGCTGCTAGACAATTGCAATTTTACATGCTGGGTAGCATTTTACTCCAACGGATAAAAAAGTTCACACATTAAGCTAAATCTTACCAGCGTAGGCAGAGTTCTATGGGCTTTTGCAATATATCTGCCATCCAACACTTGTCCTCCAAAGCTTCTTCCTCAGCTTGTAGAGTAATACAAAATGAGGTTGAAGTGACTCTCTCAGTTATGAGTAAGACTCAACGTGTCAGAAAAAGATAAGAGATTAATTGAATCCCAAATCACATGGTACACAGAAGTGAGCTCAGAGAAAGGACAGATTACTGCAGGATTCATTAACCAAAGAATTATCTGTGGAGCAGACAAACTTTAAAGGATGGATATTGTTGAACTGGCACTTAAAACATTTCCCATCCTGCAAGGGTTGACTGTCCAATTAATGTAGGAATTAAACTTCTTTGGCACAGTTGAGCGGCTAGTGGGGAAACTATCACCTAGTTCTCTATAGTCATTAGGTGAGATCAGAGGCACTTTCAAAGTCCATGACCCCTTATGACCTTAGAGGACCCTCAGAACAAGGCCATGTCTACACAAGGCAAACATGTTCCAGCCATTATATAATATTGGGACTAAAATGTGAGTTGTTTTAAATCCTTGTCTCACTTGCCTACAGAGCAGGCACAAAGCTCTGCTTGAGACACCATTTCTGAGATAGCCACAGAGAAGAGGAGTCTCACCCAATGTCCTGCCTTAAGTTTTGTGAGTTTGGATCTCAGCAGTCCTTGCAGTGAGCATATGGCAAGTGTAAGAGACCCACGGGCAGATTTAGCCAAAAGAGGAGCATCCCAGTGCCTCGACCTCCCTCCAGTCCTACAGACATGGTGGCCCTTTCAGCAGATGAGCTGTCCACACCTGTAACATGGCTGTATTCAAATTCCTCTAAACAATCAGAACCTGTCCCTTCTAAGGAACTTGGAGTTAGCAATTTCAGAACTCAGGCTCTAGTCAACCATCGACGGTAGAAATATCTCCTTGCACTCTAAAAGACTCAAAGTGAACTTCATCTGTACTCTATGTTGTACATTCAACAAACATGGAAACCTTGTTTTGTTTTTTTTACCACATGAGTGGCTTTAAAAGTCCAACATAGATAATATGTTTCACGTACATGAGATAATTCAAAAACTAGCCTTTTGTAAATTGCATTCTGCCATATTTTATACATCCAATTTCATTGACAGTCCCATTTAAGACAGGTGAGGTGGTGCACAGCTGTAATCCCAGAACTCAGGAGGCTGAGGCAGCAGCATTGTGAGTTCCAGATCAATCTGGGCTACACAGCAAGACCAGCAAGACTTGGCCTCAAAAAAACAGAGAGAGAAGAAGAATAAGGGAAGGGGGGAGAAATGGAGGGAGAGAAGAAACAAGGGAAAAAAGAAGGGAGAGCGGGGGAGAGAGAAGAAAAGAAGGAAGGAAAGAAGTAAGAAAAAGAAAGAGAAAGGCCACATTTTAAAATGTGGCCCTTGGAAATTGTTTTTCAAGGTAAGTCACAGATAGATGATATTTTCCCCAATGTTGGGGGGAAAAAAATCTTAGTTCTGTGCGTGAATGACAAAGTATTGATAAAAAGCTGATCCCAGTAAGGTTCTGCAGTAGACAACAGGCTGAGTTCAAAGCCAATCTGCCTCCTGAAAATACATTGTCCTTTCTTCTCCAGGCACAATGGTTTCTGCCTTGGAACACAGTGAAATTCCTTTCCCGCCAACACTCTTCAGAATTGTCCGCTTGGCTCGGATTGGCCGAATCTTGAGGCTTGTTCGGGCAGCACGAGGAATTAGGACTCTCCTTTTTGCTCTGATGATGTCCCTTCCTTCTCTATTCAACATCGGCCTTCTACTCTTTCTGGTTATGTTTATTTATGCCATTTTTGGTATGAACTGGTTTTCCAAAGTGGAGAAAAAGTTTGGGATTGATGATATATTCAACTTCGAAACTTTTGCTGGCAGTATGCTCTGTCTCTTCCAGATAACCACATCTGCAGGCTGGGATTCCCTCCTCAGCCCCATGCTAGAATCAAAGGACTCACACAGCTCCTCGGACAACCGTCACCTGTCTACCATCGCCATAGCCTACTTCGTCAGTTACATCATCATCTCCTTTCTCATTGTTGTCAACATGTACATTGCTGTCATTTTAGAGAACTTCAATACAGCCACTGAAGAAAGTGAGGAACCCTTGGGTGAAGATGACTTTGAAATATTCTATGAGATCTGGGAAAAGTTTGACCCTGAAGCAACACAGTTTATTGAATATTCTGCCCTTTCTGACTTTGCTGATGCCTTGCCTGAGCCTTTGCGTGTGGCCAAACCAAATAAATTCCAGTTTCTATTAATGGACTTGCCCATGGTGAGTGGAGATCGCCTCCACTGCATGGATATTCTCTTCGCCTTCACCACTAGGGTCCTGGGTGACTCTGATGGCCTGGATACCATGAAGGCCATGATGGAGGAGAAGTTCATGGAAGCCAACCCTTTCAAGAGGCTCTACGAACCCATCGTCACCACCACCAAGAGAAAGGAAGAAGAAAGAGGTGCTGCTGTTATCCAAAAGGCCTTTCGAAAGTACATGATGAAGACGTCCACGTATGCTCTGGAGGACAAAGCTCCGTCACCACTCCAGACACTTTGCAATGGAGACTTGTCTAGCCATGAGGGGGCCAAGGGCAAGGTTCACTGTGACTGAGCCCTCACTACCACCTCTGCATCAGAGCCTCACCGCTTTTCCTCCAGCTTCTGAGCTCCAAGGGCCCATAGCTCCATGTATGAACAAGCAGTGGACACACTGAACTGGCCATTCTGTTTTGTCTTTTTTTTTCTGGATGAAAGAAGTGATGTTTCAGTATTTATTTTAAATGATTCTTACAGAGATATAATATAAAGCTACCTATTAGCCACTGGGTCTACTTTAATAAGGAAGAAAACACTAGCAAGGGCTGCAAAGGACTCCCACCCTATGGTTAATATTGAAATACAGTTCAAATTATGTAAAAACAAAAGAATAAGAAATGAAAGTCACATTAAAATTTTAAATTGTGTCCCCAAATGTTTCTAAGTACATTACCCAATACCTTTGTTAAATGTTTTTCCCAATTCAAGCTTGTGGTTTACCATATACAGCCCTTCTGCATGCTAAATGAAAATTCAAAACTGTCAATAAATGAATAGCTTGCTACATATATTTTTTACCAACATTAAATATTTTGGGCAGATCTCAAACTTAAAGGCATAGTCTTGATTTGTCAGTTACCACCTTGTATTTCACAAGCTACAATCTCTGTTGTATACATTTCATTAATAAATAAATGAACCTTTCAATTTGCATTTCATTGAAAGAGTGAAAAATCTCTCCCTCTTGTTTGGTAGGTGCATAAGTAGTGCTTTGATATGACCTTATGTTTGGAAATAAAGACTGGTGCCAGCAGTCTGTCTGATAAGTATTTAACAATTGGTTCTTTGGGGAGAAAAGGCCATGTGTTTTAGCATTTGCTTATTTCTGTGATGTGAATACCTGCATTGTAACTGATTTCAAGCTCCCACCATGAGATTACTGGATGTAGAGTTGGGAACAGTTGCTCATAATAAATTCTTCAGAGTTGGCCTGTGCAGGATCCAGTGCACCATCTTCTGTAATCAATAAGGTAGTCCTACTTGACTCTGGTTAAAATATCTGCAATGGGCACCTTGGGAGGCAGCACCTCTTAGCATCACTGGGACCTCGGGAGGGGGGAGCCATAAGAACACCAGTTAGCTGGCAATCTTAGCATTTGATGAGCCCTACTATTAGTTCTGGCTGAATGTCAGCATGAAATGTAACTCAGAGAAAAAAAAAAAAAGGCTAATCAAAAGAGCTTGGCCCCAGCAATAGCCCAGGCCTTCCCTAAATACTGTAGATACTCAGGTTAAACAAGGCATTAGGCATTCTACTCGTCTTTGTAGAGGGAAATGTCACAGCATAGCCCTGGAATCCTGTACTCAGATTCAAACAGGAGGGAACAGCTGCTATGTCCATCAGCAGCCTGGAGTCTGAGGTCTAGCCTCTGACCTGCTCCACGCTGTCTAGCAGAGGGAAGCACAGAACTGGATCCTGTGGTAGGATGAGGGGTGATTATTTCAAGGTCTAACCATGACTAGATGTATTTATATGCAGGCCTGAGTTTTGTGAATTTTGTTCAATGGTCTTTTTTTTCCCCCCTCGGTACTGAAGGATGATGAGTTTCATGTGTTTTGTAGAGTTTGTACTCTGGAGCATTGGTAAAAATTAGTAGCTTTGTCATTACCTAATATTTATCTAGTGGCTGCCATGCAGCAGGCACTGGCTAAGCATCCATCATGAGCAAACTTGTTTGTACTTCATAACAACCATAACAACCCAATGAGCAAGGAATACTTCGTTTAAAAATAAGAAAACAGAGGCCCAGAGAGGCCAAGTGATTTGCACACAATCATGCACTTGATTGAGCCTCAGCCTTGGTGCCCTGCTGGGGAAGAGTAGGCAGTTCCAGGACCAGGAAACCTTTGAGATGAGCCACAGGGCCTCCCATGCAGGAATACAGGGCCTTACAGAAATCACAAGTTCTGATGTCATGGCCAAGTTCTCCTTGGGGCATTACCATTCTCGTACACGATGCCTCGATTGCATTTCCTCTAAAAAGATGTTGATTATCATTGCAGTAGGGAATGCCCCTTTGCTGGAGGTGGGAGAGGATCTGGAAAGATGCCAGCCTAATCATTTAAATTACCCTTCAGGGCCTTGGATGTGATCTGCTGTGTGCAGAAGCTCCAGCCACCCTCACACCTGTCCAGCCCTACGTAGTTCCACTAGGCCAGAACTAGATTTCTTGGAGCCACCTCTTAGGGAGAACACAGGATTTGCTTGGCTTTAGCAAGAGGTTGAACTTCACTTTCTTCACTAGATGGCAGCAAATGTCCAACGTGTTCTTTACTAGGAGCTGTGTTGCGATCCCTGTGTGAGCCTGGCACTTAAGAGAGCCAGAGAGCTGAGAGAAGAAATCCAAGGCAATAAGTGGTGAATTATCCCAGCCTGGTTGGGTGCCAGGAAGCTCATCCTCCCCAGAGATACCGCTCCTTATGTGAGTACCCAGGACACCCTCAAGAGACAGAGGTGTTGCTCTGAGCTCTTTTCCCTGAGGTCATACTGAATATCCATGGTAAACCTCCCTAAAGGCAAATAAAGCCAGCCCCCTTGTCTGCTCAGTCCTCTTCCACAGGTAAATCAGGCCTTGTCCAACTCAATCAAATGACATGCTCCTCAGGACCAAGGTAGTACAGCTAAGGTAGACTGCTAACCAGTGGCTCTTAACCTTAAGAGCACATATGCTAATTAGGAGGAGAATCAGGCAAGTATTCACGGATGATAATACAGGTAACAGGTAATAATATAACAGGTAACAGGAAGCCACTGAAGGTGTTTGAGCAGGAGAGGAAAAATAACTGGACAGGGTGTGCAAAGTGGAGAGGAAAAAGACCATAATATAGGTCCTGGTAGGGAAGAGGCACTGAGCCAGGGAGGAAGCAGAAGGCAATGCAGTATGACTCAGGTTCTTGTACCAACTGACTGGCCATGGAGGAAGAGTATAGGAGACCCTGAGATTTCATTTTTGTCTTTTTGGTTTTGGTGCTGGAGATCAAACCCAGGACCTCATGCATGCTAGGCAAGTGCTATACCACTGAGCTACATCCCAGGCCCCCTTAGAATTTTTGATCATGGCAAAGGAGGAAGAAAGTCCCCCCAATTAATTCAATTTTAAGTTCTTTGAAGGTTTAATTTACCAAGTCCACATTTCTGTCTCTAGCCAGGCCTGGAAATTGAGGAGAAGACATGGGCAAGCATCCTCAGCACAGGGGTGACTTCTGAACCCCCAGGAACAAATGAAACTACAGTAGAGAGCTGCTCAGGCCCAAGAGGCAGATGACTGGTGCCGGTGGAATGGAGTGAGGTAGTTCAGTCAAGGGTGTGGGGAAGTCAGTGAAGGTAAACACCATGACAGAACTGGCTTCCCTGGGGAATTCAGTCAACAAGATGAGGTACATGGCCCAACTCTTCATCCCTTCACTGAGCAGCATGTGAGAGCCAGGGCATGCCATGTCTGTTTCCTAAGAAAGGATCCCACCCTACTCCTCTCCCTTTTTATGGGGCAAGGATGAGAGCTTGCTTTATAAACAATTAGGGGAGCAGTTTTGGAATGTCCTCTAGTGGTACCCATGCCCTTGGGGAAGTCAAAATCATGTACAATATCCCCTGCTCACAGCAGGGTGTGGGGGGACTGGTCCCATGTAGTTTGTTGCCTGGTAACCCAGATGGAATCTCCAAGATCATTCAGTGGCACTCCTGTCCCTGGCATACAAGGAACAATCAAAGAGTCAGCAAGAAAACAAGAGCTAGCATTTATTTATTGAGCACTTATTCTGGACAAGGTAGTCACTTCACCTGCATTAACTCCTTAAATCTTTGCAAATGCACTGTTAGTCTCTATTGGGTAGAAACTATTTTAACCTCCATTATACAGAATACGAGACTTATTCCAGGTCACACAGCCAATATGTGGCCCTGCAGGATTCGAAACTAAGCAGCTAGCTCTAGATCTCAAGCTATTAAGCACTGCATTTCATGGTCCCACAGACCGACTGATATCCTTTGTGAACATAGGTGCAAAGTTTTTTACAAAATATAGCATATCAAATCCAGAAATATAATTTAAAAAAATAACATCACAGTCAATTGGGACTTATCTCAGAAATACATGGCTGGTCTAGAATATCAGAATACTGCATCATAGTGGTGAACTAAAAAAGAAAATGATATGAGCATCCCAAATGATCCAAAAAAAAGTCATTTATCAAAATCTAATATACACTTTTGATTTTTTTCTAAAAGCTGTAAGCCTTCTGCAAATTAGGCATAAGGAGGGAAGTTCCTCACCTTATGGAAGCATAAAATAAATGAGTACTAACTACATGAGGATGGACTTTCCTCTTAAGGTTAGGAATAAGGCAGGGAAGTCTGTTCATACCACTTTTACTCAACATTGTACAGGAAATTCTAACAAGAACAGTAAGACAAGAAAACTAAAAGTCATCTAAATAGACTGAAAAAGGGGTAATACTGTGTCTGTTTGCAAGCAATGTGATTGACTACATGGAAAATCCCATGGAATCTACAAAAATAATGAAGTTAGCAAGGGAGTAGGATATGAGATCATTATTTTAAGATCACTTGTTTCTATATATTAGCAAAGAACAACTGTAAGTTAAAGTTTTAAGTACTATTTAAAATAGCATGAAAAGAGCTAAGTACAAGACCTCTGTGCTAAAAAGTACAAAATACTACTAAGAGAAATCTAAATGGTCTAAATAATGAAAGAAGATAATGCCATGGTCATAGACCAGATGGCTCAATATTATCAATTTTCCCTGAAGGCAATCACAATCAAAGTTTCTGCAAGGTTTTTATAGAAATTAACAAACCAATTCTAAAGTTTATATGGGAAGGGCTTTTGATGGCAAAAACAGCTTTAAAAAAGCACAAAGTTGGAGAAACTAAAATTACTTGATTTCACGAGCCAAGCTGCAGTAATCAAAATAGTGTGTTACTAAGCCAACATGGTATGCATATCTATAATCCCGGCTACTCCAGAGGCAGAGGATCTTGAGTTCAAAGTCAGC